GGCTGTACGCGTATCCATCTTTCCTTGTTGAATTAATTGGTCGGACGTTAGTCCTGAACCTGGAATTCAAGGCCCTTGTCCAGGACATCCCAGGTTCCGGTTTTGCATGAAGGGATTTCCCTACGCGCAGAGCCTTCATGCCCTACCCATCTGGCAGTCTGCCTAAGGGCCAAAGATGCTGCAAGGGCTGAGCGGCTTTTCCTTCAACCGTTCTATATCGTGAAGGGCTTGCCCTTCGTGATACTTCGATTTTGACACGTGAGTGTCCTGTGCAATGCTGTAGCCCGCGGAGGTTCGAGCAATCGTGGGAAACGTACAAAGCGTCGCCATGACAGTTGATCGCGAGAGTTCGCATAATTGAAAAGTATGAGTTCTCTCGCGAGCACGTCCCTCTTATACGATTTTCTGCGCGTGGGCTTCGCCTGAAGTCTTGCGCAGGAAAAGTTCTGGGTCAAGCAAAAAAGCGCAAAGCGCGATGCGGTAAACGGAACTGAGTTTTGGTTGTGCGGAGTATCGCGTGGTCGGAACAGTCGTCCTAGTCAACCTACGCAAGTTTGCATTCGAGAGATCAACGTCTCCAGCGGCGGTTCGCGTGTGGGTATGATTCGGGCGTTACCTGCGCGTACCCCTTATACTGTCCTACCCTGATCCATTCGAGCGACCTACCAAGCCGCACAAATCTAAACAGGTCTAGGCCGAGAGAAAAAGGGGGCGAGTCGCTTTTCTTCTTTGCGTTTTGTCTCCTTTTTAATTTTTCATAGTTGGACGTTGGAGTCCGTGGCAGCCGTCAAAGTCAAACCCCTTGACCTGTTTCGAGGCCTATGATGATGGAGTATGTCTCCAGGGTCAAGAGTTTTTGGCTGCCACGACAGGCTTGAGCCTGTCTACCATCCACTCTCCACAGGGTGCAGACGAGGGTAGGTCTTGCAATCGCACTTGTGATTGTCTGCGTCAAGAGGTTAACCCCTCAAGACGCGTGTCATCCGACACTTGGGTGACGAAAACGTCCCTCAAAATCATCGAGGACCGCCTGAATTTGGGCACCACATAGTACTCCATCATTGCGACTGCTTGTGTACACATGCATGGCTAGTCGATATGATAGAGCCCTACGTCGCCGCGATATTTATTTGGAGTCTTGCGCATGATACCCATTTACTTCCTTTAACAAGAGTTATGGGTTGGGATGAGAATAAGGGACTAGCCGCAATCTACGAGTGAAACTTGTTTTTGTTTCATGAAGTATTGTCGCTTGGTTAGAATAGCTATCCTAGTCGACCGACGTCGGATGGCACTCGAGAGATCAGCCCCTCGAGCGACGGTTCGCGTGCGGGTTCAATTCGGGCGTTAACCGCACGTTCCCCCTATGCTACAGCGAACGAGAAACACCCTCGAACAGACCACCTCTGCGATTTCACACGAAAAACCTTCGCACGTGGTTCGGTAGCTCGACGGGGATACGCCCACCCGAAGGGATGGTGACAACTCCCGCGGGTGGAGGTAAGCAGTGCCTCGCGTGATCCTGTCTTGTACTCGGGACTCGCGAGAGGTACAACTGGCGCACTCGGCCGGAGCGGCAAACGCTCTCCGGGACAAGTCCTGCCAAATCCTGCGTGACGCGGCCGGGAGGGTCCCCCTGTGGGATCGATGCGCTCGACAGGTGGTGCCGTTGCCGGGGATTTTGGCTGCCTACCGGGGTCCAAAGTGAAGAAACCCAGGTTAAGGGCAGGCTGATGATAAAGGCAAAACGACAAATCTTTATTATTGATCTAGTTGAATGTGATATGCTTTTGACATTTCTAATTTTTTTTCTTGGCTGATAAAAAAAAGATGTGTATGGTGCGTGTGTTATGGCACTAAGGACGGCGTATGTGGTTGAACTATCTGACTGAGAATACGATTGAAAAGTATCTACATCTTCAAGTAATGTGGTCAGGATGCTGAAAGAGGTGCGAGGCACTGAGGAGTGGGCAAACCCCATTGCCAGGTATGCTAGAGAGTCACTTACTTGGCAGGATTTTGAGAGAAGGATGGAGGGGCTGCACCCATCACCCGTGGGAAGAGATGGACTGCCGATTCGTTTCGACTCTACCAACTTGGGAGATTTTCTTCGGGCCTATGATCAGTTTGCAGATGGGCTCAACATCTTGGCGGAGTCGAGGATTGGAGAGTTCCTTCAGTATGTGAGGAGGCCCATCAGATCGTTCGTCAGATCCATTGTGGAGCAAGCCACAAACTGGGACGACTGCAAGCAATTGCTGTGGAGCAACTATACTCTGGCACACCAAGTAGAGAACATAAGGAGTATGGAGAAAAAGAGGAAGGAGACGGAGGGTGCATAAGGACGAGCAATTGGCTATGGTGCATCATCTGGGACCCAGAGGGCGGATAGGAGGAAGGAGCATAGGCCTCAGAGGCATGAGAGGAGGGAGGAGGCTCAGGTGGTTCAGGCCCGCCTGTTCAGATGCCTAGTGAGTGTCCTGAGCCAGAGACAGAGCCAGTTCTGCCTCACGAGCCAGCAGTGCAGGAGCAGAAGAAGGAGGAGACTGCCAAGGAGAAAGAGATGGACAGGATTGAGAGGGCAGCAAGAAAAAAGGAAATCAAGGTCCAGATCAGACTGAAAAACGTGGCAGAGATAAGTGAGAAGATGCAGTAGGGGGAGCAACCAGTGGAAGTGAGAGACAAGATAGGGAAAGGACTGCACAGTCAGGAGGATGATCCTCCCCTACTTACAGAGGCATGGGACAACTTCAACAAGCTGATGGAGGCTGCAGGCAGATCTACAGAGCACCATCAGGAGATGGGGGTAAGTCAGTCTCTACAGACCTGCTTAGCCTGAAGAGCCTTATGAAGGAAGGGTTTGCTGCAACAAAGGCCTCTGATGAGAAAGTGGGGAGGAGGGTGACAAGGGTGGCACAAGCTGCCCACAACCAGAGAGTGGACTGGGAAAGAGAGATTGGCACTTTGAAGAAGGGGATGGAGAGGCAGAGCAAAGAGGTGGAGGCTGTGAAGACAGAGATGGTGGACATCTGGGCTAAGAATAGAGCCCTCAAACTGGTTAACCAGACCCTTAGTAAGGTCAACGACGTTCTTAGGGCGCACCTACAGACGCAACAGGTTTCTTTCCATGCAAAGGAAGATAAGTGGGAGAGAAGGCTGAAGGAGGTGGAGTCCAAGATCTTGCAGCAGACCTACTGTAGTGGTGGACTGGACAGAGGTTCAGAGATATGGGATCAAGGGTCAGCCTGTAGAGGAACTCTTCAAATGCAAGAAGTGGGAAGGAGCAGAGCAGCAGAAGGGAGAGGAGATTCCCTTGCTAGACAAGGTGATGTTGGAGCCTGAGGAGATACTAGCAAGGAGGGAATCTGAGGTTGGGAAGTTTGATAGGCAGGCCCCTACTTCCTTGGCAGTTCAGCAAGTGCCAATGAGGCAAGATGTGAGACAGCCAGGTGAGACCATAGGGAATGAGGGCGCTTTACCTACAACGCAGGGAGAGATTGTGGGTATGCAGGAAGTACAGGAGAGCGTGGATCAGGTTATGGTTGAGGCTGAGGCGAGGGGAGATCTGAAGGATTGTCAGGAGTGAACTACACCACAACATACACCTCTTATCACAAGATTGGAGGATGTGTTGGGATCCTGGGCCACTGGCTCTAGACCAGAGGGGCGAGTGGATGCGCAGTTGGCACAGACAGGCGATAGAGCAGCCTGTCCTACTTCCTCAGGGGTTCCTCAGCAGGAGGTCATGAGTGAGGTCACAACAGCCCCCTCATCTGTACCCTTATAGGAGGAAGGCAAGATGATTGAGAAGAAGATTGGGAAGTGTTACTACTGCAAGAGGGGCAAACATCGATCTGACGACTGCCCCAAAAGTCTCAAAGATGAGGCGAATGACTTGGTTACCAGGGAGTCATCTGGGGTATGGAGGGACAAAAATGGGATCCTAGGACTAGTGATGGGGTGAGGGCGCAGTTGTATAGGCAACTGCAGGAGGTCATGAGTGATCAGGAGTAGGATTCACTAATAGGATCCGGAAAAGTCTAGATCTAACATATATAAAACATATCGGACTCAATATTGATGGATGATTGTATATAGGAGGACACATGGAGGATTGGATCACGCCCATGTACATCAGTGAGTTGAGCCCGTAATGAGATGTCGTAACCCTCTCTACTTTGATCAGAGTAGATAGGGTCACATGTCTTAGGGACATCTCTTGAAAAGTCTTTCAAAATTTCATCATGAATGCCAGAAAAATTCAATCAATAATTCTCACAAAGTTTTTGGTATTTCCTCGTCAAACTTTTATATCGCAAAATGTCCATCATCATAGCGCCTCTTCTGAGCGCTCTCACAATTTCACTCACATTTATGGGGCCCAACCGGCCTTTGGGCTTCCCTTTTTTCTTACTGAACCACACAAAAAACATAACTTTGGTTGTGACATTCACATTCATTATTTCTCAAGTCTCTCCAATTTACAATGCGGCATTCCTGAAACATGAGGTGCATCCTCTTTCACTGTACTTAAGCTTCATCCGTTGCTATGACAGGTATGCTCAAGTACAAGGGAAGACTTTGCGACCCAGATCATTTCACAATATATGTATATCACAAAATTCATTCACATGAGGGCAACCTCACAAAACCGAGAGTGAGTGTGACACGCCACACAAGAAAGAAGTAACGTCTGAGACTCACACATGTACACAGAATCTGGGGCTTTGCAATAAGCAAATGCTCCTGTCCATACCAAAAAAAGTCAGAGTATCGTACAACAAGTAAAAATGTCAAAAAAAGTCATGGGATCAAGTGTCCACTATCACCCCAAATCTCACACTACTCATACAATAGTCTCACACGCACTACTCTGAATGAAAGAAGTCGTAAGATACACAAAAGTTACTATCTAAAACACTCCACACCACAGAAAAAAAAGAAGGAACAAAATTTAGTCAAAGTTATACTCAATGTTATCCCTATTTACAATTAAGTCTGAAAGTCTATGCTTTTTGTTGGAACCTTGAGAGAAGGCACTATCCTTTATTTTGCTTGGAAAATTTCTGAGGGATCTTGGTAATGAGAATGCTTAACCACTATGAAGTCAGTTTAAGGGACATATTTGTAAGGCCAAGCTAGGGGGCTATACTTAGCATTGTTGGGACGTAACTCCCAGCGTTGGCTGCTGACCGGCGCAACCTGGCAGCGGGCCCATGACTCACCAAAGGTTAGGTCTTGAAGGGTCGGCCACTCGGAGAGGCTTAGCTCAAGGGAAGGTCATTGGGATTGATTAAGACCCCACTGAGGGGGCCGGTCAGGGAATGCATCAGCTGGAGTGAAGGAAGCAGCTTAGATGCATGGAAGACCGGATAGGTACGTAGATGCAGAGGGACATCAATGGTGTATGACGGACCAAAAGGATCAGCCCCTACTGTATCTAACACCTGCCACGGACCCAAGTACTTAGGCAACAGTTTGGGAGAAATATCCTCCTCCCTCGACAACTCTGAACTGGCTACCCAGACATAGTCACCAGTGCGAATGGGGGAAGGTCTGCGATGGCGGTTAACTTGTTCAATCATGGCCTTTTGGGCTTTGAACAAGTTCGCTCGCGCTCTTTCCACATCAAGACGATAGCGTTTAATGAACTCTGTTGTGCCTGGTGTCAGATCTGTCTTAGCCTTGTCGATGATATCATCGAGAGGCTGACGTGGCTCACGTCCCCAATGTAATCGATAAGGACTGAACCCAGTCGAGGAATGGACAGACATATTATACATAAGCTGTGCACGAGCCAGATGGAGATCCCAGTTCTGCTGATCTGGCGAGATGACAGGACGTAATAGTTGGAACAGGACTTGGTTCATCACTTCAGCCTGACCATTGGCTTCAGGATGTCGACCAGAAGTCATGTCCAAGCGAGAGTGCAGATAGTCCTTGCAGTAGGACTGCCACTCTTCGCTGCAAAATCGGGGATCTCGATCACTGACTATGGAAGTGGGCGGCCCATGGTGAGTGACCCACCTCAGAGAAAAGGCTGCTCTCACAACCGGGACCCTCGCCACCTCTGGTAAGGGGATGAACTCTGCGTATTTGGAGAACCTGTCAACGCAGACCATGACCTGGCGCATGCCCCGAGGGGTGGTCTTGCCTAAGTCTGTAAAGTCAATGGACACAGACTGGGCAGGGTCATCACGTATGGGTAAGGGTTTGAGCAGTCCTAGAGGAGGTTTCCGCTGAACCTTGTTCCTCTGACATAGCTCATTGGTTTCCACATAGCGCAACATCTCACTCCGCATCTCCTTCCAGAAGAAGCGCTGCGACAGGGCTGCATACGACTTTAAGAACCCAAAGTGTCCACGCGCATCATGGCACACTGACATCAGCAGTGTCCTAAGCTGCTGATCCTCAGGAATGCATAAGCGCTCCTCTCCTCTGCTGTAGGTATACAACAGATCTGAACTCATCGCATAGCCAGGTTCAGAATTGGGATCAGCTTGCAAATTCCTGACAATGGGTCCATAAGTCGGGTCCTGAGGCAGTAAGTGAGCAATGGTCTGACGGGTCTCCTCTCCAAAGGAATGAGTAGAGGAGATCAATGCAAAAGAGTCAGGCCTACGAGAAAGGGCATCAGCTACCTTATTGTAGCAGCCCTTCTTATGCTTCATTTCAAAGTCAAACATGTCGATGAACTGAATGTATCGTGCCAGCTTGTCATTTAACTTTCCCTGGGACTTCAACCACTGCAGGGTGGAATGATCTGAGAAGATCTTGAAGTGTCTTCCCAGGAGAAAGTGCTTCCAATGCTTTAGGGCACTGGCAAGAGCATACAGCTCTTTCTCGTAGGTGGAGTCCTGAAGCTTTTGGGTCTTGATCTTCTTGCTCATGTACTCCACGGGCCGTAGGCCATTCCCATCATCCTGTTGAAGCATTGCCCCAATGCCATACTGACTGGCGTCAGTAGTCAGGTCAAAAGGCAAAGTGGGGTCAGGTAACTTCAATACAGGGGCACGAGTCAAGGCTTGTTTGAGTCGTGCAAAGGCCATCTGACAGTGAAGGGACCAAAGAAAGGGAGTGTCTTTCTTTGTAAGGTTAGTCAGGGTTGCTGCCACTGCAGAAAAGTTCCTGACGAACTTCCTGTAGTAGGAGGCCAGACCCAAGAAAGACCGAACATCTCTCACTGTCTGAGGCTGTGGCCACTCCTGAATAGCAGCAATTTTGCCTGCTTCAGGAGCCAGACCATCTCCAGAGATTACATGACCCAGATAGATAACAGAGGGAAGCCCAAAAGAGGACTTCTCTTTGTTGATCTTATACTGGCTGTCACGTAACGACTGAAGAACGAGATCCAGGTGCTCCGCATGTTCCCTGGTAGTTTTGCTGAATACCAGGATATCATCCAGGTAAACAACCATAAACTTATCCAGCTAAGGCCTGAAGATGCGGTGCATCTCTGCCTGGAACGTGCCAGGTGCATTGCAAAGTCCAAATGGCATGACCAGATACTCGTAAGTACCATATCTGGTCTTGAAGGCTGTCTTATAGACATCCTCCTCTGCCATCTCAATCTGGTGGTAGCCAGATTTGAGATCGACTTTGCTGAAGATCGTGCATCCCTGGACCATGTCCAGCAGGTCGTCGATCCTAGGAAGTGGCTCAGTGTTCTTCCTAGTGATCTTGTTGAGACCCCTGTAGTCAATGCACATCCTGAACTCGCCGTTCCCTTTGGGCACAAAGAGAACAGGTGCACCGAATTCAGATGTGCTGGGTCTGATCCAGCCCTTGCTGGTCAGGGTCTCAAGTTGTTTTCTGAGCTCCTCAAGCTCATCAGGGGACATCCTGTAGATGCGGCCCTTGGGAGGGACCGCCCCAGGCAGCAGCTCGATGTGATGCTTGGTTGGCCGGTTGGGTAGTCCAACGGGCTTCTGCATCAGATCAGCATACTGGTCAACTACCTGTTGTATCTCAGGAGGACAGACAACAGTGGGAGCGTCTGTTTGCTTGACCAGAGCTAAGAACAGACGCTCATGGTCATACTGGCGAGAGAGAGCATAGAACTCCCTCGCTCTCAGGCAGAAGCAGGAAGTTTTAGGGTGGTGTTCAACAACTATCATACATGGCTGATACACCCCCTTGCTGTTAGGCAGCTCAACCTTGGGGATCTGCCAGTCGATCCTTGGGTTGACTGCTTTCAGCCACTGCATGGAGAATACCAGATCAAAGGGCAAGTCAGGGAAGATGTAGAAGCTCAGACTATGTCTAACTTCTCCAGCGCTGTCGAAGGTAACAGGTATACCCCTGACCTTCTCCCTGATGGTTAGTACAGTGGAGTCACCTATCCTGACCTGCAACGGTTGCCGCAGCTGCACAACTTTCATGCCCAGATGCAGTGTCTTGACTGCACTCGGGGACATGAAGTTCCTGGTGGCTCCACAGTCCAGCAGCCCCTTGATCTGGCTGTGGTTGATCAGGGGCCGAAGTAGGATGAGATCAGATTTGCTTCGCTTTTGTTCTTTCAGATGAAAGAAAAAAACAGCAATAGCCTGAAGCTCAGACTGCTCCGGTTCGTGACCGGGTCAGGATCCTCATAACAGAAGGATGCTGCCCGCGCAGTCCCCACACTGGGATACTTACAAACAGTCGCAACTGAAGCTGCTGCAGGTGTACTGACATCAGCAGGTACACAAGCAGCACTGGAGGGAACTGCAGCCTCCAGGGTCAGCTTCAGTTTTTTGACTGAGCTGGAATTGGCATGTAGGGACAGTCCTTGAGAAAGTGCTGCCCCTCACACCTCAAACAGATTCCTCTCTCTTTTCTTTTTCTCCACACTCCCTCCTGGATTTTCAAATCATGGCAGGGGAGAGTGTTGGGATTCCGGGGGTCTGTTGGAAATCGGACATCACGTGGCAGGTTAGGGCGTCGGGCAGGGGGAGAGGAGCGACGTCCCTTGATCTTCCCCTGGCTGCTGGAGGCTGTGCTGGAGGAAGACCCGGCCTTTTGGAAGGCTCCCAGCGCAGCCTGCAGCTGCTGCATGGCCGCTGCAACATCTGAAACAGCAGCTGATGCAGTCCCATCTGGCGGTGTACCAGGCCGGGATCCTGAATCAGAAGTTGTTTAAGACCCTGCATGTGCAAAGGCCGCTTTTCCCTTTCTACCACCGCGAGGGAAAGCGCCTCTCCTCCTATCACTGGAGGGGGCCTGGACATGGAGCTTTGCTTCCATATCCAGGGCTGCACGGCCGAAAGATCTCCAATCTTTGTGCCCTGCGCTGTACAAAGCAACAGAAAACTTCTCAGGCGCAGCCCTGCAAAAGTTTGTTAGCAGATCATCATCAGACATGATCAGCCCAGGGGTGGAGGTCAACTGCTCAAACTCTGCAAACAAGGACTGCAGAGTACCGCTGTAGCGCTGCTGATCCAGACGTGTAATCCGGTCAGCAGCCTTGCGGGCCCTCTCCTTGTCTGCAAAGCGTTCCTCCAGGGCCTGCAGAAGTTGCCCTACTCCCACGGCTGAAGCCCTGTCCTCCAAGGTTTGGGACTGGCCGCTGGCTGTTGACGCAGCCCATTTCTGGGCTGGGCCCTCCAGCAGCGCCACAACGGTGGCCACTTTCTGCTGTTCTGGGCACACGAAACCCTTCAGATAGGCCCGGGTTCCTGCAGCCCAGTCCCCAACATCAGTTTTGGGGTCATCGCCCCTGAACTTGCTGGGTGCAGGGATCTTGGGTCCCCTCTGATCCCCTGCAACAACAGCAGCAAAAGTGGGAGGAGGTCTGACTTTAGCCTAGGAGGAGGTAGAGGGAGATGACTTGTGAGAACCATGAGGAGAGGAGGGAGGTGAAAAAGGAAGGGAAGACGGTTTAGGTTTGAGAGGGGAAGTAGATGGTACCACAGGGGCAATCAGGCGGGCTGCTGTCAACTGAGCAGTCAGATTCTGGATGGCATCCAGGATCTTAGACTGCTGAGTCGCCAGATCGCCTACCCTGGTCTCCAACCGCTGTATACGATCATCCCAGTTAGTAAAGTGGCTGGCTGTAGTCTTGTTCTGGAGAAGTACCAGCTCAGCCAAGTACCTTGTACACTGGGCTACCCTCTCATCTGAAACAGTCTTCTCAGCTTGCTGCAGCAGAAACTCTTTGCGGGAGGCATCTGTTGCAGCTTCCAATTCAGCTGCCTCTTGTCTCTCAGCCTCTGCGAGCAGCGCCTGTTGCTCTTGCAGTTTTTCCTCAATTTCTCTCTTTCGTCGCTGCGCAAGGGTGAGAGGAGGAGAGAGAGGAGTAGAGGGGGAAGGTTTCCCTTCCTCCTTGACCACAACCTCTACCTGCCCCTCACCCGATTTAGCAGCGTCAGTCATTTTCCCTTTCAGAAACAATAAACAACAAAGTTAGACAACCAGAGGTGCAACGATTTACAATCCACTCAGACACTCAGAAATCGCTGCAACATCAATTCACAGGGTAAGGTGGGTTAATAGGCACAAGCGGTTAGGGTTAGAATCCAATCACTGGGGTCAGTAATCAGACAGACTGAAAGTCCAGTAAAATCGTTCACTAACGATTTCCTATATCTGACACTGAACCATCACTGAAGTTGAACCAGACACTTTCAGTGCATTCCAGGGATCACTAACATTCCAGAGCCCATCAGAAAACAAAGATAGTCAGTGGTAGAGACAGATACAGACAAGAACTAACTAAAACGGAGCAACAAGTAGTAGCGATGAAGTAGATTAGACCCTGACAGCCCTGAACTCAAATTTCGCCACTGTTGACATCAACATAAATACCCATTGACACAGCGATTTTCAGTATTTCCCTGTAACTACTGAATTTCCCTAATTCAGGGCCAGCGCTTTTGCACAGATGACAAATACTGAATTGCGATTCACCCCAGACTGACAGACTTGAATTCTGACGGACCGAATCTAAGTTTTGACTGACCATAGGTCGCACAGGCTAAAAATAGAGTCAGCGCAAAACTAAGATTCACTAGATCACTCCTTTTTTTGTACAGAAGTCACAGAATGACCATACAGGGTGCAGCGCAATATTGTCATACAATCCCATAACAAATTTGAGTCAGAAAGGGTCCACAGATGGTGAGATATGGGTCAGGGTAGGGATGAAGAAGATAGCTATGGCTGTCTTGCAGTCTGGCAATTTCAAAATTGAGACCCTACTGACAGACAGACCATCAATTCAGACTCTACTGTTCCTAAACTAATCGCTACTCAGGGATTTACACGGAACACACTCACTTGCAGTTCTGGCTATGGCTGACAGAACCCTGATCTCGCCACTTTCATGCAGACACTCCTCCACTGTTCTCCACGCGTAGAATCTCCTGAAACTTGTTGATCTTCTCAGTATCCTATGGCGATTCAACCCCCACTCTCAGATTCTCTGAATCTGGCTCAGTGGCGATGAAGAACTCTCCTGAAGATTTCTCGCCACTGCAGAGGTAAGCCGCTGGTGCTAAATTTAGCCCTAATTAGGCCTAATTCAGCAGGAGATTGATCCTGCGATCAATTCTCCCTCAACGCTATACTGGGTTTGATGCCGCCACCCAGGTATCACTGGATTAGGGTGTAATTCGCCACCCTGGACTCAGTCATCAACTGGGCTCAGAAGGGTGGATGGCGAAATACCCCTGTTCTCGGCAAATCCTGTCAGGCGCACAGACAGGCTCAGGGCGCCTGATCAATCACACACTGAATCTCTGCATTCACCGCTTGTATACTTGCTCCCCTCTCTGTATCTTCACTGAAGATGAAGCTTCAACATGGAGCTTCTCGCCTGATAGAGCCAGAAGGAGCAGGTGCCTCTGTTGCGCTCAACCCTCAGTGCTCCAAGTCCAATCTCCGCTCCGATACCAACTGTTATGAACTTGGTTGTCTGACAATTTTCTCGCCACTCACACACAAGGTATCTCACACATGCCCATACATGCACAAGACAAAGGGGAGGAGAGACAAAGTCCACACTGTACACAGACCAGAGATAAGCAGCAGAATAGCAACCATGCACAAATGGGGAGAATACACACAGGGTTTCTCTCTCTCTGACAAACTCCCAACAACCAATCACAAGATGACACTGTGAAGATCACAATCGGAATATAGCACTGATGATGAGCCAACTCAACGCAATTAACCACAATTATCGTTACAGAGTTCAACCCAGTGTCTCGCCACCTCAGAACCACACACTCCACCCACTATTCTACTCTCAGTGTCCAGCGCTACACTGAAACAGCCTCCCAGAGGCCAGCACCATCCACCAAGATGAAGATCATGAACTGCGATGTAGTCCTCAGTGCCGATGAGTCACTCTGACGAAGAAGAAGGCAGCTATGGCTGCCGAGCTGCTATCGTGGCAGCAGCGCCCACATATACCCAACGAAAAGTCTCCGTATAGCCCTGCCTGACGCAGATACCCCTGAGGGTAGATGCACAGAGACTGGCCCCAGCTATGGC